TTTCCATACATGTACACAACTGGTGTACAATATTTTTAATTGAAGAGATGGACCATTGTTTTAAGATTAAACAATTTTTAAGATATATATCAAAACTGATATGAAAATCAAGCATTCTTTCCCCCCAGCAAGGTTTTGAGAGTGTTGCCAATTGTGTCTGATCATCATCAGGTCACCGGTTCTCTGGCGCCTGCCAGCACCCAGGGAGGTACAGGGCTACTCCGTGACACTTACGGAGGTAAAGTGGCCTGCCCCGTCTCTGAGCAGGTCCTCTGGGGCCCCTGGTCATGCGCCCACAGCCCTGGCCAGGCCACTTCTGGCTGAGCCGCTTGGCCCGGCACCAGCCTCACGGCAAGTCTGGGAAACATTCAGGTTTCACAGAGCTTGGGTCACACCCCTGCAGACGCCAGCATCTCCAGTCCTCCACAGTTCCCCCTTTCCTAATTATTGAAGCACGTCACAGGCGCCTCCTTACAAACAAATCCAGCAGACGAAATGAGCTCCGCTGGGGCCTGGCTTGGGACTGCAGGTCTGGAAAGGCAGCTCGATGTGTCAGATACACATACTAACATGTTACACGGGCAGCATGAGAAGAGCTTCCACCACTGTGCAAAACCTAAATTGGAAATAGAGCAAGGGAAAAGTGTCCAGTGTTTTAAAATGGGATCCCACATATGAAATCCTCCCCCATGTTCTTTCACTATGTTCAGATATGTGTGCACAGAGAGATTGGACTGGCAACCACAGACCACTTGTTCTGGGTAATTGTACTGCTTCTGATTGAGGATAACCATAAGACTTTCCAGGTAGAGCAGAGTAGTCCTTTAAGGTTGGGTTTTGTGCCTTCTAGAGCTATTCTAGAAAAGAGGCTGGCTTTACTCCCCAGAGAGCCACGCTGGCTCCTGATGGGGGCTGGGAGGAGAGTGTCTTCCCGGGGATCCCCTGCTGCAGTGTCCAGGGTTTCCACCTCTGTAAAGACCGAGCAGTTCTGTGATGACCCTGCAGGGAGGCTTGTCTAAAGCCAGGAGGTCTCCTTCTGGCATCTCAGCACCTTGGCCTCCAGGATGTCCCACAGATTGCTGGATTCTCTGCAATGGAGTGTGTGCCTCGTGGGCAACACTGATCGACCCTGTGGGGTCATCCTGTTGGGCCCTTTCCCGTGATCTGCATTTAAGATGCCCTTTCTCCCCTGTTTGCAAATAAACTAAATATGGAAGAAGGGAGAATTAAGGTCTTGCAACACAGAACTCTGGCAAGTCAGAGGCTGTGGAGGCTTCCAGCAGATGGACAGGTGGATGGGCAGGTGTCAGAGAGGCCACCTGCCCAGAGATATGGTTACCTGGAGCTGCTGCCATGGTCCTGGCTGCTTCGGCTGCCCAAGCTCTGTTCAGATCATGTGTTTCATTGAACGGTGAATGAAGGTAAAGTTACACTCAATCATCGCCCACACCACCATGAAACCCAAATTAGAAGAGAGACCGTGGGAGGCCCCCACACAGCACATGCCCCAAACGCACGGTCCTCATCAGGTCATGAGGCTTCGAGTCAGCTGGGCCCTGCTGCGGTGGATCCCTTCACAAGGACCACAGAGACGTGCTCCATTTCCATGGCTGCCTTTGCAGTTCCTGCATTTTCTAACAGTCCTCATCAGGTCATGAGGCTTCGAGTCAGCTGGGCCCTGCTGCGGTGGATCCCTTCCCAAGGACCACAGAGACGTGCTCCATTTCCATGGCTGCCTTTGCAGTTCCTGCATTTTCTAACACAAATGGAAATGTTGCATTAATGGTCCTTAAATGTACATAATTAGCAAGTGATATGTTACATTTATTTACAAATATTCTGCAACTTACATTTGATATCTCATTTTTGCTGGTGTATTAACTTGAATAAATATTTTGCCCTGATATAGCTCAGAGTGTTTCAGATTTGGATGTGCGCAAGGATCACAGGAGAGCTTTCTAAAATCACCCATTTCTCCCACCCAGAGCTTTGTACTAAACTTTTCTAATGTGCATTGAGGTTGAGAACCACAGGCACTGGTTTTAGTCATCAGACATTTTCAAGCGGAGATTTTAAATAACAACAGGAGCCATTCATATATAGAGAGAGCAAGAGAGAGCAAGAGATCAATCATATATCACCATAATTCAGTATGCCATGCCCAAGTTATTTAAAAATAATTTTATTAAAATGTACGATTTAGTTCCCTTGACAAAACTACTGAAAACGTTGTGAAAGCATAGTATGGTGGATTCTGTCCTTTTAAACTTACTAGAGCGTCTGCTCATCAGCACGAACAGTACGTAAGGTCCAGGAGACATACGTGTATCTGCTTCTGGATGCGTTTAATGGAACCTCGTCATGATTTGCTTGGAAAGTAAAGGTGCAGAACAGAGCTATGCCCACGGCACCAATAGAAAAGTTAAACCAAATGGTGTGACAACACGTGGCCTAGACTCCCTGGAGTTTTGATGTCCCCAGTTTATGGTAAAACGTGGGCCTGGTGTATGTGGGATACGGTGTCAGTTTGGCTCCGGGTGATGAAATGTGCACTTGGCCTCAGGGTTGCCGGGCATATCCTGACTCTGGCTCCGTCCTCCCCTCTCCAGGTGTGATCGCTGTGGTGGCGTTTGTCTTGCTGTGCCTCGCCGCCGTAGCCATCCGCCTGTATCAGCAGAAGAGCTTGTACACACCCAGGGAGGCGAAACGGCCAGAGAACCAAGGCACCACCGAGGCCGTGCTCAGGTGCGAGCTCAGGGTGCAGAGCGTGGAGCGTGGGAACCAGAAGGAGCACTTCTTCTGAGTGGGACGGGGCCTAACGCGTTGTCACCGCAGCTGGGCTTCCCTGCTACGCCGGGGCTCCAGATGGCCAGAAACTGCCTTGACAGATGCAGCGGGCGGCACGTGATCGCCCTGCACAGAGGCCGCCCCTTGGAGGGCCCAGGGAAGCCTCCCCCCTGTGCATTTTATGTTACCATGAATTGGATAGCTTCATAATCCGTGTTAGTTTCCTATACCCTGAAGTGATTTACACTGAAGTTAACCTTGCTCGGTGACCGTCGGAGGGCCCAGGGAAGCCTCCCCCCTGTGCATTTTATGTTACCATGAATTGGATAGCTTCATAACCCGTGTTAGTTTCCTATACCCTGAAGTGATTTACACTGAAGTTAACCTTGCTCGGTGACCGTGGGGTCCGAAAGGGAGACTTGCTGGGAGTCCTCCGCTCCTCACACTTGGACCTGTGGCTCTGATTTACTCGCACACGGGCTGTGTCTGGTCACCACTTTCCTTTCCACAGGGCTGAGCATCTCTCCTGACCGTGTCCATTGAATAGTCACACATCCCTGTGAGCCACAGCCACGTGGCCAAACATAAACAGCCTCCGGCCTTCTTTGCCGGTGCACACCAAGCTTGTTCCTCTGTTGAGACTTCTCTTTTGGTTTGTTTGCACTGCTTTTATTGACTTTTTCCTGTTCACATGTTCATGGTGAGGATGGATACGTCTGGTGCTAAATGCCAGTCTTCAGCCATGACACGTGGCAACATTCAGATGGTGCGGAGTCAACGAGGTGTGACGTTGGCCTCTTGCTTCCTCCTCTTTGTGTGTCATCGAGGTCTGTCACAGACACCCAGCAGTAATGCTGATCTCACAAAGGTTTTTTTTTCCTTTAAAAAAACACAAAAAATTAAAATCGAAGAGCAGAAAGAGCCACAAATTCTTAATACTGAAAATGTATTTTTATTTGCATCTGCAATACGTGAATGATACACAATGTAAGTTTATTTCTCTAAACTCCTGGGTGATGATGTTGACTTTCTTTGTGATGGTAAATCTTGCCTGGTGGGCTTGGTGTTCCCTCGTGGTCTCACAGAAGTTTCCTTGCTCCTCGGCCGCTGTATTCCGTGTAGCTGTGCTCTCGCATGTTAGACAGCCAGTCATGCTCCAGGTCACACTTCCTTTCTGAACTGCAAGCTGCAGCCACGTGCCCAGCTGGACAGCAGGAGGATGCTCAAGTCCACTGCTCTGCTCTCAATTCCAGGATGCAGGAGCCCATCTTTCAGAGTTACCAAAGCCAGCGTGTGGTGCTGACCCCTTATTCTTGGGGTGCAGACCAAGAGAGGAGTGCATGGCAGATAAGTCCATGAACTGTCTGGCAATTAACTTTGGATCCCTGATCAATGACTCTGTTGCACAAGGCCCCTCTTTGGGTCCCATAAAACCAGGGAACAAAAGGCCTGCCCTCTGTGCACCTGCCCTGAGCCTGTGAGGAGGCTCCTGAACATGTCCACACGAGGGAAGGCCATGACTTCTGTGCTGTTTTCTACTTTACATCTACTTTTCTGTGTCCACCTTTTAAAAAAATCAGAAACCATGTTACTTCTGTCTTAATTCATCTGTTTTAAATGGCTATCCTTTCTTATAATGCTATTGCCCTGTTGATTGTTCTGTAAATCTAAGGTTCTGAATGAACACAGTGACTTTAGAAGAACATGTACTGGCCAGTGGTGTACACATCCCCCTACAGGTGTCTAGTGGCTACGGAAGGAGTCAAGAGAGAGGGTCAGCGTGGCACTGCAGAGCTGGGTGCAGACACCGTGGCTTTGCGGCAGAGCTGCAGGTGAGGGGCACTCACGGGGCCCTGCATGTCCCCAGGTGGACGGATGGGGGCTCACACCCAGCACTGACCACCCTCCCCAGGAAGCTGAACAGGCAGCCAAAGTGCACGGAGGCCTCCCAAGCCAACGTTGCCCTCCTTGATTTGTAAACTTCACCTTCTTGCTTGTTAATAAAGCAGGATCTTTGAAATAAAATGAGTAATATATTTTAAGAGAATTTATAAAACATTTTTAAAGCATGAAATTAGAGTTCTTTAAGCAGTAAACAAAGGTGTAATGCATGCATCTGTTTGTATTTCTTTACACCTCATGAATTATCCTAGGATTGTTTTTATTTGCAAATTAATGATGCAGTTACCATGGTGATTTTTTGAAAAATGTCTCACATAGAAAGTGGGAGGAGAGTGATAAATATTCACTGGCTGCTACCAGTAAAAGTGATCTGTGACTCTGGACACTGAGACGCAGTGTAACCACATCTGAACCAAAGGACGTCACCTCACCACTGACACGCTCAGCGCTGGGTCGTCATCCACCTGTGCACGTCTCCTCGGAGCCTGGTTAGGGGCCCTGGAAGCCCTCGTGCTTGCTGGGAGAATTCAGTGCACTCACTGTGATGTAAAGTCAAGAGGCAAGAATTCTCAACAGTTTTTCTTTTCAAATTAAGACAAGTAGTGAACACCGCATATGACTAGCACTCCTGATCTGAGCAGCCTGGGCTCACTCTCTCTTAGCCTCACCCATTTCTGGTGTCAATCTGTATGGGGTGGCTCACTCTGTGACAGTGTCAGGCACCACCTGGACTCCTAAAGCAATGCCATCCAGGTGGTGGGACCCCCAGGTCTCTGCTCCAGGGCTGGACCCTTGTCTGGCACCTCATTCAAGAGAAGAGGGCGGCAACTCCTGATGGTGGGAAATGCAGTCATTTGAAACGTCTCCCACTGCAGCTGTGGCTCTTCCTTGGACCAAGAGCCTAGAAAGAGTTTTGATTTTGTTCTTAATAATCTGACTTACCAATTCTACAAATGGGGAAACCAGTGCGCTGATGTGAGTTGATTTTTCCAGGGGTCCCGTGCTAGCAGGTGGTAAAGCTGGAGACCCCAGCCCACGTCTGTTTGCCCCACCCCATGGCCAATGCACTTGCTTCCACACTGAGTCTTCTCAGAATATTATGTGAACAGGAGAAAGGCCCAAAGGATATCGTCCTCTTTTTCTCTATGGATCTGCAATTATCCATCTTTTTTCATGTCCTTTCTTGTTGAACATCAACTCTGGGTAATGGATCATTGAGGAACATATATAGGGAAAGACGGAGGAAGGGAGGGAGAGAGTCTGACATACGTACATCATGTCGTTCTCAAATCTAAACGTAAATTGGGCTCGACTGCACAGCCGAGTCATCGGATGGTATTCCAGGTGGAAGAGGGTTGAACGGCTTCACCACTAGTCAAAGCGCACCCCATCTCCTGTTGGGTGTGCATTTTCCAATCCACGGGCCACAATGTGTTGCCCCCATACTAGTCCGTTTTTTGTTGCTTATGACAGAATACCTGAAACTCGGTAACTTATAAGAAAAGGAATTTTGTTTCTTACAATTTGGGGGGCTGGGAAGTCCAAGGTTGAGGGTGCATCTGGCGAGGACCATCTTCCTGGCGGGATTCTGCAGAGTCACGTGGCAAGGATGTGAAGAGCTTTGATACTGCTCACTTGCTCTCCTTACAAAGCCTCCAGTCTACTCCACCCCCTGGTAACCCGTTGAACCGTAGCCCATCAACTTGTGAATGGACGAATCCATTCACAAGGGCACATCTTTCAGGCACCGTATTGGGGATTAGGTTCCAACATGATCTCAGGGGGACAGTCAAGCCAAAGCAGGCCCCGAATATTTTCCACACACCCTGGTTTTCTGCTTTCCCACTGTAAGGTGGGGCGTGCTGGCCCGAGGGAAGCAGAGTCTGTCTTGGTCAGCATGTTGGGGACACGCGTGTGCTTGCACATGTGTGTGAGTCAGAGGAGGAAATAGCTCAAGGGGGCCAATCTCCTGGACTCAGGAGCATGTCAAATTCTGGATCATTAAAGACACAGTTCGGCTTGCACATAACTGACTGCCTTAGCTGAACAAAAATATTATTAGTGGTAGAATCTTAGCCTCCATAAACATATATAAAATTTACCATTTTGTATTAAAATATTTATAAACATTGTTTTAGAAAATAACTACAAAGCAAGACCCCGTCTTTACAGAATCACAGGTTTCCCTCAGCTGGGCCCTCCCACACCTCCCTTCAACCAAGAATCCACTGCAGGCAGCTGCCAGGTCAGGACTCAGGCTCGGACCTGCTCACCGCTAGACTGACGTTCTCCCCAGACGAGTTCTCAGGAGGTTATCTCATGACCCAGCAGTTACCACGCCACCAACAACGCGGACTGTGATGACTGTAAATTTTGGAGTAGTTTTGCTACCGAATGTTGTATAGAAAAAGAAAACCTGCTCACCGCTAGACTGACGTTCTCCCCAGACGAGTTCTCAGGAGGTTATCTCATGACCCAGCAGTTACCACGCCACCAACAACGTGGACTGTGATGACTGTAAATTTTGGAGTAGTTTTGCTACCGAATGTTGTATAGAAAAAGAAATCTTTTAAAAAATGTTACTTTGGAAAGTTTTTTAAATGTTCATAGCAAACTGTTTAATTCATACCAAGTTGCTTTTCCCAGAAGATTTCAAAAGTGCACGTCATCTTGTTTCCTCGCAGGGATATCGTGTTCATTTCCTAGCCTTCAAGTTTGTTTAACCAAAGCCCGATGAAGGGCTTGAGACCTTGCCCTGTTTTTTTTTTGTTTGTTTGTTTGTTTTTTTCTTTTTGTCTTTTTTCGTGACCGGCAACAGATCGCAACCCTCAGTGTCGTGCCCGTACCGGACCGGGACCAGCAACGGGATTGCAACCCTTGGTGTTGCTCCTGCACCTCGCTCAGCCAGTGAGCGGCCGGTCTGTATGTGGGATCCTAACCCTCAGCGGGAGCGCTGCCGCGCTTCCCAAACGGCGCACTGTAGCAGTGTGCCACCAGGCCGGTCCGACCCTGCCCTGTTTTTAAGTGACTACCGGGATCTCCTGCTGGGAATATGGGGGGGGGGTCTCCTGCAAGGGGAGGGGACGGCCACGCTGCTCCTATTTCACATAGAACCAGAGGAAACCGTGATGCCAGTTTCTGAAATGCCTCCCCTGCCCCGTGCCGCACCCTGAGCACCAGCGCGGGTGGGCTCTGAAGCTGGGGTTAGGGACCTCGAGGGAAGATGCTCCAACCAAGGCCCGCAGTGAAACCCAGCCCTCCAGGCAACATGGGTGCCATCATAACGTGTGTCCTTCAGCGTATGGTGGCATCACTGCCAGCGAGTGCTTTGCTGAGCCT